GGTCAAATGCCTGTTCTAAAAACAGTCATTGTGGGCAGGGGGCTGCAATGTAGCCATGTGTGCTGGAAGGTTCTAGAAAGTGGCCAGTGGCTAGAGTGTCATGGGAAGACCTTGTGTGATATGTGGGTGCTCCACTGGCAACACAGATACACACAACTAGGGCTCCTGGAACATAAGGACTGTGGTTAGTCCATCTGTGTCCTTCGCATGCCCTGGAAGCTGAGGACCTCAGAATAAATGATTGAATGAATGAGCAAATCTTTGCTTCCTTTACCATGTCTAGTAGGCACCTGCCTGAAGCCACCATGTAAAATTTATAACCTACATGTAACCTGAATCATTGCCCTAACTGTGATGGAGCACTTTGTAAATCACCTTGACATCTGATTCCACGATAACTCAGAGAATCAGGATTAACACCCTGTTAGAACAAGGAATTGAGAGGCCCTCCCTGGTGGCAGAATATGTGAAAGCACAGCACTGTGAAGCTGGCCACAGCCACTGCAGCAGGAGTTGGATCCCCGGCCAGGGAGCTGACCCACATGGCAGAGCAGACCTCTCTTGACCCACCCGCTGCTCCCCTCAGCAGTGTATTTCAGTCATTCTGGCTGTTCTGCTCCCCATTCCATCTCTGGTGAATCCTCTCACCTCCCCCCCCACACCTCTGGCCTGTACCCCAGTTCTGTATGCATAAATAAATAAATAAATGGTTAAAAACAAATGTGTAATAGCAGTCACATTGTTTACACTCTGAACCTCATGTAGGGTTCCGAGCACCGGGGCAGTTCAAACATGGTATCGCTGGGATCGTTGGCTTAGGGCAGCAACCAGGCCCACATCTTCAGCTCCCCTCACTGATGGCATTGAAGGTAGAGATGATGAGACAGATATGGAGTCCCATTTGTTCTGGGGTTCTATACCGTTATCCTCATGGAGTTCACACTGTCTTTGTCCTCAGCCACATCCAGCTTCTTTACCTCCAAACTGCTGGCCTAGCTGACTGGTAATGATTGATGCTGAGTTCAACGCTGAACACAGAAGCAACGGTCTACGTAGACTGTCTACCAACAACCCCAATGGCTTAAGGTCTAACTTTGGCCATAAACTTCTTATTCTAGTCATTCATGGTCTGGTTAAAATTTTTTCTGGTTAAATCTGGATACACCATTTTTTTCTAGTTGCTGAATTCTTTTATTATTCCACCCTCACTTAAGAAAAGGATATAGATGCTTCTGTATCTTGCTTTATTACTTAACAATATCCTTGGAGAGATTTCCATATCAGTATATGGAGAATTCCCATTCCTTTTTATAGCTACATACTATTCCATTGATTGGGTGCTTCATACTTTATTGAAGCACTTCTGCCTTGATGAAAATGAGTGAAATTTTCATTCAACCCTATCTTTGCCTCAGTCCAATGTATCTAACTGACTCTCTCCGGTTGGATGTGCCACTGAGATTCTTTCTCAGTATGTCCAGACTGAACTTTTCACTCCTAACCTCTTCCAACCTGCCCCCCATAGGATCCAATGTTCTCTTTGTCCCTCTGACCTCTCAAGATCATTCAACAGCACCAGGTTCTGTGTATGTCCCACTCACGTGACAAACTTTTTTTTTTAAGATTTATTTATTTTATGCATACAAGTACTGGGGTACAGGACAGAGGTGCAGGGGTGGTGGTAAGAGGATTCACCGGCACAGAGTGGGGAACAGAACAGGCAGATCTACTGAAACAACTACTGAGGGGAGCAGCATGCAAGACAGGAGAGGTCTGCTGTGCCATGTGGGTCACCTCCCTGGTCGGGGATTGAACTCATGCTGCAGTGGCTGAGGATAGCTTCATAGTGTTATGCTGTAACCTATTGTGCCACTAGTGAGGGCCCTCTTGTGCTATATTTTAGTGGTCAGAGGTAGAAAAGTCCACATAATGGTGATTTAAAAGAATGGGAAGTAGATCATGTATCTCAAAAAGAAAGAGGAGTAAAGAATTATGACCATGGGTAATCTATCATTGGCCATCTTTGGACATAAATTATATCTGTTTTGTGTGCAAAATATACTCATCTCCTTCAGAGGAGTCTAAAAGTCTCATCCCACTATATTGTATGGCTCTTGTAATATAAACTAGGACCGGCAGTAGATAAGTTTCCTCAGTTATGATTCCTCAAGAACAGCTCTTGGAGTACTCTTGACCTGAAGACCTGTAAGTTAGAGACAAGTTTTCTGCTCCCCACAGACCCAACATACAGAAGTGACAAGCATCAAATAGCCATATTTACACTTCTGTTAAAAGAGGGAAATCAGGAGTGACATAGCTACCACTGGGTCATAGCAGCTCTGAAATCCAACTGGGTACATGCTTTTCATTAGTGTTCAACCCTCCTGAGGATGAGGGTTGAAATTCTTAATTTCTCCCTTTGACACCTGGGTTTCTTCTGAGTCATCATTTCTTGTCCATTAATAAATAAATAAATAAAGGTTTGGACCCTCCCTGTTGGTGCAACATGTTAAAGCGCAGCATTATGAAGTTAGCTGCAGCTGCTTCCGTGCAAGTTCAATCCCCAACTAGGAAGATGACCCACACGGTGCAGCAGACCTCGCCTACCTCACCCACTGCTCCCCTCAGTACTGTACTTCGTCCATCTGTCTGTTCTGCTCCCTGCTCTGCCTCTAGTAAATCCTCTCACTATTCCTGCACTTCTGGCCTGTACCCCAGTTCTGTAGGCATAAAGACATCTTAAAAAAAAAAAAAACTACAGGTTTGTATATGAATAGCCTTCTCAGTATGTTTCTTAGAAGTGGGAAGGCTCACAGGTCTCTATTTGAATGCTTTGCCTTCTCTTGAATTCTTTAGTTGGTACTTTATCTTCAAACTAGCATATCGAGTGGTTGCAGGGGTAGAATTACCATAATTCTTGACCCTTGAGACTATTTCCAATTTCCATTCTGCTGAGTACTCAATAAATAGTACTCATTGGGCGCCCACTGTGCCCCATTACATTTTTAAGAATCAGAGGTACAGTAATGAATGAGACCGACAGAAAATAACTCCTGTGGAGCTGTGGGTCTAGAAGAAGAGATGGACAATAAGAGATTAAGTAGGCAATAAAAAGAAACAAAATCATAGTAAGGAGGCAAGCAAGAGGGTGTTTTATGCATGCTGTTGATAGAAAGAGAACTTAAGTTTAAATGGGAAAGGCCATTTTTGCTAAGGAGATGACATTTAAGTTAAAACCCAAGTAAAGTGGAGGACTCGCCATGCAGGTAGCTGGAGGAAGATATTTCCAAACCAAGAAATACAACTGCAAAAGCCTCGGTTTTATATATATACCTTCTGTCAAAGCAATACAGTTTGAGCAGATTGATGAGGTCAGAGAGGTATTTGAGGACCAGAGAGGGTAGGATTTTTTCCTTGTAAAGTCTTTTATAAGGAGCAAGAGGAGACATGATTTGGTATTTTCATAGAATTATTCTGGCTGCTGTTTTCACAACTGGTGGGACAAAAATAGAAGCAGGAAACCAAGGTCGTTGTAATAGTCTATGTGAGAAATGATGGAGATTCAGACCAGGTTGTAGCAGCAAAAATTGCCAGAAGTTATGTTCTGGATATATTGAAGCATGGATGAGGAATGCGAGAGAGAAGGCAGTTGAAATCCTTTCCTAGGAGAGCTGTAACAAATTACCACAAGCTTGGTGGCTTAAAACAACAGAAATGTATTGTCTCAAATTGGAAGTCCAAAAGCAAGACGACTTCTCCTCCCTTCCCTTCCGGCTTCTAGTGGCTCTCAACATTCCCTGACGTGTTGCTATTGACTCCAATGTCTAAGGCCATCTTCTCCCAGAGTTTTCTTCTCTATCTGTATTCTGAGTCGTTGGATTTAGAGTCCATTATGATAAACCACAATGATTTCAGCCTTGAAACTCTTAGAGTATCTGTAAGTAAGTATATATGCAAATACCCTTTTTCCAATTTGAGATACGCAGGTTCCAGGACATATATCATTTTGGGGGTCCCTATTAAAACCAGTACAGAAGTAAAGAATGATTTCAAGGTTTTTGGAGCATGTAGTTGACAGAATAGTGTTTGTATGAGCCACGGCAGCAAAGAACGGTGAGAAGTAAATGATGTCGAATGGAGATAAAGTTATAAGTGTATATTAAATAATTCAGATGAGGCTTGTGCGTGGTAGAGTGCCTCCCTGCCCCCTAAGAGCTCGGCAGGATACAACTTTATTAAAAGTCTTTTAATATTCAATTAAGAGAACCTTGAACTCGTCTCCATTTCCTTGAGCTATCTTTTGCTACAGGAAGTGTTTCGGTAACTTCTAACTTACCTCTGTGTTTCTGGCACCCTGCCACAACATTGCTGATGTCACATGCAGTGGCTGGAAAGACCACCACCTTGGCATCAAACAGTCGTTTGCAACCGTTACCTCTTACTGCGTGAACTAGGACAAGTGACCCGCGCTGGACCTCAGTTCCCTATTTGCAAAATAATCTTTCCTTGAAAAAAGGAGAAGTGGAAGATCTAAAGATGCACAGCAGATGCTCAGTAAATAAAGGTGTCCTTCACCCCACTGTTAGGTTTGTCACATATCCCCTCTCTTGTCTCTCTCTACTCAAGAGGTCTCCCTAAGAAAGCCCATTCCTAGAGTAAGCTTTGTTGATCCTGCAGAACAGGGGGCACACAGAGCACTCTTGGTTGACTGCTCCGTGCCTTCTGGAGCGGAACGCTACCGGAAGGGCCAGTTTAGCTTCCTCCTCTCCTTCCGTCATTTCGGGGGAAACGGGGAACCGCTGAAGCACTGGTCTGTGGGTTCAACATGGTGTCGTCCCGCTCCTTGTACGGTGCTCAAAGATGGCGGCCGCCACCCGGGAGCAGACATGTTGGCACCACGTGACGCAGACCCAGGCCGGGGGCGACCGGAACGTGACGCCGGTGGAGGCGGGGCTTGTCCCCGGCAGCCTCGGCGTCGAGCGTCTCGTGACAGGTACTTCCGCTCGGGGCGGTGGCGGTGGCGGAAGTGGGAGCGGAGCCCGAGTCTTGGCCATAAAGCCAGAGGCGGCGGCGGCGGCGGCGTTGGAGGCCGGGAGCGAGCCGAGGAGTCCGCTGGGCCCGGAACTGGGAGTTCTCCTGTGCCCCGTCCGCCCTTTATCTCGTCTTCGGCGGGAGCCCTCGCGACGCGCCCGGCCAGGAGCCCCGAGCGGAGCGGCCGCGGTAAGCAGCGGCCCAGCCCGGCTGGCGGCCTGGTCCCATCCCCCTCCTCGAGTCCTCGGCCGCCAGGGCCGTCCCTCTCTTGGGCAGGCGCTGGGTCCGGCTCGGGCCTCGCGGGGAGGCTTGCATCACTGATGACCCTGGCGCAGGCCGGCACCGCGCCCGGCCGGGGACCGGTCAGAGGTCCCCCGGGTAACCTCTGGTCGGGCTGCGGACCCCAGGCCGGCGGTCACCGACGCCCTCTTTACTGGTGGCGCCCGCACCCGAGCCCGGGGGCTGGGGGGGGAGGTGTGCTTTTGCTTTGGGTGACCACTGGGCACTGAGGGCCCTGCGCCGCGGCGGGACGCGCCGGCCGATTGAGTTCCTTGGGGTGTCGGAGCCGGCCCCTCCTTCGGCGGTGTCGGGCTCGCTGGCCCGGGCGCCGCCGCCCTCTTAGGCTTTGGTGACAGGCTCCCGGGGTTGAGCCACGTTCTGATCTGTCTCTTCACTCGAAGAGATTGACCCTGTTGGTGAGAGGCTCCCTGACGGCGACTGAGTGGAGGCATAGTCAGGTGACGTGAGCTGGGCTCCCCTCAAAACATTTGTACGGGAGTGAGACGCCTCTGGCTCTGGGGCACAAGGAGCTTTTTTTTGACCCTAAGCACGTTATGGTAAATGCTGGAAGTTTTCAAACTTCTTGGGAGAAAGTCGGTGGCTGACTGTAGAGCTGTGTTTGAATATCGTTCCTCTCGCTGCGTTCATTTCGACTTGGTCCAGGTACAATCCTGGCTCGGAAAAGTGGGAATAAATTGAGAATAGTGACGGCGAACATTTCAGCGGTAGTTGTAGGCTGGGCAGCTTCGTAAGACCTTTACACAGATGTTTAATCCTCAAAACAATCTACTGAAGTTCCACCACTGCTCCCACTTATAGTTAGGGATATAGAAGAACAGAGAAGGAAGTCATTTATCCAAGGTCACACAGCTGATAATTACAGAGTGGAAGAGTCAAGCCCACTCATTCAGACTGGGCAGCACTGCTCAGGTCGGCGGCTAGCTTTACTTTCAGATGCCTCTGAGAGTTGTGATTTATTTTTGCCACCTGATATCTACTGCTCTTCCTCCTTTCTTTCCAGTGGTGTCATTTGAAAACCTCTTCTAGTAGCATTAGTTCTGCCTTAAAGCCAGTAGCTATTCTGTTTGCAGGTTTGAGTTTTAACATAGTTTTGCTGTGTGCTATTAAATAGGAATTCTTGAATTCAGGCAAAGTACTGAACTGAGATTTGAAATTTTTTATTGCCCAAATCTTTTGTCAGATGAGTTAGACTGGGCAATCCTCCCACGTGAACCTTCCTTAAAGTCTATAGAGTGTCCAAGCAGTTGGTTGGTTGCTGTTGCAAATACTGTATCTTCTCTTTGGATTCCAAAAGAACAGGCTCTTGTCTCTTCCTTGTGACTTAAGCAGCTGATTAAGCCGCATGACTTCTCATCCATGGATTAATAAGGTCTCCTACTAGTATGTTTCTCTTTTTAGATTTGGGAGAGTTTATTCAGGCTTGAATCTTAGAACTGGAAAATGAGTTGTGAGTACTTCTGAAGATAACAGCTCAGGCTGAAATAAAGCTTAGTGCTTACAACCCTGTTGTGTTCTGATCCCTTTTTTAAGTTTGCTACCATAATCTGATACATATGAGTAACAAGTATTGGAGTCTTAGGTAGCCTTCAGCAATGTTTGTGTTTAGAGGACAATAATGATGAGCAGTTTTTCGTTCATCAAATGTTTTGCATAGCTGCCGTGGACCAGGTATTGCTGAATATTGACTCAGGGACATAGGCTTGGCTTCTGTCCTCAAGGATTTTAAAAATGGTGAGTGATCGTGGTCAGGACTCCTACTGGGAATGACTTGGAGGTACAACTTGAGGCTTTTGGAAAGAGAAGTTATTTCTGATGTCCTCATGTGAATCCATAGTAATCAGACCATCTGTTCTGGGTACCTTTAAGGCTTTGCTCATTTTTACATTTTTTGTGGATTGCTCTTGGAAAGAGTTTAGAAGATAATAGTACAGATTCTTATTGATGATGTCTTTTGAAGCGTAACCTTCAGCACTAAATTTGTTCTTTTGCTCTGGTGGTATTTTTTTGTTCACTCAAAAGGGAAGCTGTGTGGTTGCCAGTTTGTTAGCTGTTACAGGGCTGTTCGCGCAAGGGCACATGTTGGCATGCTGGAATTTTTTTCAGCTTATGAAGAAAGTTTAATGTACTGCCTACCAGTCAGAGCACCAAAGCCATACTAGATAAAACCCCATAACATCCATCTCCCGGAAAGGCTCTGGCTCCCCTTAAAGTGGGTGTGTGCCACACGTGACATGGAACTGCATGAGTAAACAAACAAAGGGGTGCAATGTAGGAGAAGGGACTCTCAAAAGATTTGATTAGTGTTCCTCTCCAAGTAATTGTTAGCAGCCTTTTGGGCCTTGTCTGTCTGTGTGCGTCTGCGCGTGTGTGGGTGGACCTGGGCCAACACCCCCACGCCCAACACAGCAAGCACTGCTTTACAGGAAAGCGTGGCTTTGAATCAGATTCCTGTCCCTGCGCCAAGTGAAGCAAAAATGTTTTGATTATGTGATTAGCTTTTAATGAATTTCCAAAGAGACAGCGCTGTTGACTTCTTTGCGCTTACTGTCGGCGCTGCCTCTGCACAAAGGCGGGCGGACGCAGAGCGCTCAGTTCATGATAGCAGTCTCACGTGCTGCGCTGTTCCCGCTGAGATCCGTGCGCATCCTAACGCCCGCCCTTTGATAAGTTGTCTGATTCTTCTTATATATAATTCAACAGATGTGACTGAGATGACTTGGATGGGGAGCCGTTGGCAGGGTTTTCAGGGTTTGCCCTGAGTAAGGCTAAACAGTGGTTCCCCTTGACACTCAAGTCGCCCACTGAAGGAAACAGAACTCTGGACATTAGTTGCTGTCCCCCACTTCCCGCAGTCCCCCCTCAAATGGGAGGCTTACTGGCTTTTTGCTGACTCTTCCCTCCCATGTAAGGTTGTCTCTGTGTCCTCAGGCATCCCTTTCTGTGTGTTATCAAACACTTATCTGTTAGCATCATCTAATAGAGCTTTACGTTCCTGTCTGCAGTTTGCTGCAGAAACAGTGTGCAGTGTGTTCATCTCTTCAGTTATTTTTTGTTCCTGTAGCCTCTGTGTATGACATCAAACATGAAAAAATAGTTGCATTTTATTTAACAATTTCTTAGTGGTGATGTGGTCTGCGTGATTTGTGAGTCAAAGGTAAAAGCCATGTAGTAGGTGAAATCAGAACAGGCCTCTAAGCAGTGTTTCTGACTAGTTTCAGTTTTAGTACTCCCAGGCTGTGATTTCAAAAAACAAATTTAAGAATAGCTACTTAAAATGTCTCTGTGGGGGAGGAAGAGAGCCTGGGAGTTGGTCCCAGTACAACACGCTTGCTTGAAGATGCCGTGCTCGAGGCAGGGAGCCTCAAGCCTCGCCCTGGCTCTGTTTTGGTGATGTCATCACTGCTGTGGCGATCAGTCTGACTGATTCCCTTGTCCCTTTCGCCTGGGACTGCTTGCTGTGCCGACAGAGCAAACTTGAGAAAGCCTATGAAGGGAGGCCTGGGAGCCGGGGCGCGTAGGGATGAGTGACCTTGTCGGGCTTGTTGGGTGCTATATGGGGAGGGAGCTTCTGTTTTCCCTGACCCTTTCAAGTAAAGATGCTGGCTTCTGGTACTGGCGTTGCTGGAGTTACCCAGTGCCACCAAGGACGCCTTTAAAAGTTACATTGTGAAGTCAGTGATTTCTCATGGTTGTGGATGATTTTAATTAAAAATTAACTTATTTTATAGAGTGCTGTTTGAGAGTTCAACAAAATACTATGAATTAGCCTTTAAAAAACCACAATCTCAACAACATAGGGCTTATGAAAAAATAGCATCTCGATTATATACTAATAATGTGTGGCATTTAGTCAGTGTTCTAACAACTCTCCAAGACTTAGAGGTCTGGGGACCCCCATCCCCAAATAATTTTGGGTCTTCTAGGCAGACCTCTGTTAAATCCTCTGACCTATGCCATTTAATTGACAGTTATTAAAGAGCATTAAATGCTTTGTAGAAATTTTTCTATACAGTATTTGCTTTTGAATGTCTGTTATTATTTGTGTAGTGCTAGCAATTTACATGGGATTTCATTGGTGCTCACAGCAACTCCTAACCTCAAACTTAGTGGGTGGCCGGCCAGTTGTTTATTTTTGCTCCAGATAGCTGAGACTGGGCTACTGAGAGCTCCAGCTTCTAGGACCAATCTAGGTCTGTAGAAAACAGCGAGCTGCCCTTTCTGATGCTCTTTTGAATACACATGATGGCCTTTAAAAATCTCTTTCTTCATTACCTTTATTTAAAATGACATTTCTTGGACCCTCCCTGGTGGCTCAAGGGTTTAGAGTGCAGCACTGTGAAGCTAGTGGTAGCTGCCTCATCATCAGTTCGATCCCTCGCCAGGGAGCTGACTCACACGGCACAGCAGACCTCTCCTGTCTCGCCCGCTGCTCCCCTCAGCAGTGTACTTCGTCGATCTGCCTGTTCTGCTCTCACTCTGTCTCTGGTGAAGTTTCTCACCGCCCCTGCACCTCTGGCCTGTCCTGAGTTCTGTAGGCATAAATAAATAAATCTTTTAATAAATAAATAGACATTTCTCTTTTGCTGATTCCATACTATCCAGAGAAAGACATATGTGTTCACTGGTTTTCTTTCTGTGAATGTATACTTTAATACCTTCCTTTAATGAAATTGAACCCGACTTCATTGACAATGTAAGTGTGGGATGGTGTGGATCCTTTGACCTGTGAGACCTCTCCTGACCGAGTCTCGATAATAAGAAGCTGGAGGTCATCTCCTGGGAGTCATGAGACTGATGACATATTTCAAATGTTTAATGTCAGCAGGTGAAGAACTTGATGGTTTATTTGTCACGGTGACACCAGATAGGTTAAATGCCCTCTAATCATT